AACTGACAGTGGAGGGTGGATTCAAATATGCTGCTCAGAGGAGACTTTTTTGAGGAGAGGAGAGTTGTGCATAAAAACGCAAAACTGCCTAAAAGCCTATTAAATGGGTCATGAACTGAGAAATAAAAAATCCCTTGATCTTTTGACATATAAGAGGTCATTGTACTATAGAAACTTCCTGTAAATTTCAGAACTCAAAACTTTCAACAGCTTATATTGAAGCCAATCTGCAAAAACGACAGGTTGAGGAATGTGCCACTTTGTGACATAAAAGTGTGGCTAAACACACTGTAAAAAGTAATGAGTTGAACTTACTTGGAAAACCTGTGGAAACTGATTGCCTCAAATTTCTCAAGCAAATTAGTTTATCATTTTTGAGTTAATAAAACTTACTGTAGGAAGATCAACGCTCGCTTCTATATCACTGCCTGTTTAGCCCCACCCACCGATTCACTCACATAGTGGGTAAATATCAAGAGAAGAAAACGTAGGTCTACGCAGAAATCAAACGATAAAGATGCTCCGAAGACAACAAGACGCTGTGCAGTGCCAAGTTGTGGGAAAAAGTTGTTTTTGCATTGCCTTCCTTCTGATCCCAACATTAGAAAAGAGTGGATTAACTTTATTTTTAAGATCCAGACTGCATCAGTAAGAATTTGGTCCTTTGATCACTTCATTTTACCGCGGATTCGTTTACAAACAAGGCACAATTCGCACAGGGTTTTCAGAAAGATTTAAACTAAAAGACGATGCTGTGCCGACTATATTAGATCCGAAGTAATGTCACACCACACAAGTGTGAGTAACTGTTTTTTAGGGCTGCACGATATATCGAAATTATCGAAATATCGCAATATGCATATCACAAGTGCGTGCGATATCTGAATCATTTTAATAATAGGCTACTTAAATCAAAACATTGCAAAAGGTCAAAGTTTTAGTTCGATGCATACAGCAGAGAATTGCTTGACGTTAAAAAGAGTTAAGTGCAATAAGTTGCAGAAAACAACTCTTTGCCGTCTCGTCTTGCTGTCTGACTCACACCTGAAGCCAGCACAAGCCGCATCTCGCACAGCGTCTCTTCAGTTCTGCCGCACACGTGCAAAGCGAGCGCACACACAGAGAGACGCGTTTCAGACGGCGCGCGAACACCAAGTTGATTCGTCTTCGCATCTCCTCATGTTTGAACAGACACATACACACAGAATTATGTCAATAGTACCCGTCTCGACGATCATTCTCGTAAACACAGTCGGTTATGTTTTAAATGAATGTAAAACGCTGA